GCTTCAAACAGATTAGGCAACTGTTACTACAACATAATACCCTCTGGATTAATATTTTGTTGTAAGAGTTATTTCCCTTCTCTCTTTCATTTTCCTCCACCTCTTCATTACTAAACTTCTCTGCTTGTTGACTGTGTTCTTGGCAATACCATATAGTCATTAATTATTGACCAAGAAGGATCAAATAATTAACTTTTAATTTTTACACATCTATACAAGTTTTATTTAGGCATGGTTGTCTTCAGATTGATTAAAGTGGACAGCCCTATATTGTTAAAGAAAACCTTGAAAATACACTGAACTTACCTAGTATGTAGATAAAAACATCCTGAGAATAAGAAGCTTTTAAAATCAAACCAGTCTCAAAAATAAATGGAACAAAACCTATAGCATATTTCTGAAATTGTAGGGTGCACAGATGAGAAAAATGGCCAGATATATTGTGTAGTTATGACTGCATGTATGATTAGTGACTGAAAGCAAGAAAAACAAGTCAGATTATAGCCATTTCAATATGTAAACTGCCAAAACAAGTGAGAAAATATGTTAGTAGTTGATTTTGAAGGTGTATATGCTAAAAATCATATATGGTTCAATCCAATGTGGTGAACTGCATAATGGCCATGCAAACAATATTTTTGGTGGAGGGTTAGGGGTTATATGGCTTTGTTTGTTTGCTTATTTTTTTTTAGATTTTCTTTTTTTTTTTTTTTAGATTTTTGGTTAATTATATTAGATTATATCTGTTGATGTATTTTTCAAAATTGGACCAAACTTGTAGATATTTGAGGGTGATGACATTTACACGGAATGTGACATTGCACACGTCTGCTGTTGCTGATGGTGTGTTAGTGATGTGTTGGAAGCCATAGACGGCTTCTGTATCTATATTTGTTTTTATGGAGTAATTGGATTCGACATTAATCAGAACTTTCTCATGATGCGTGAAGGTGTACACATGTACCAGTTACTCTGTCTTATCATCCCTACCTCATGTTATTGGTTTCTTATCTCCTTATTTGTCAAGTAATTCCCGGGAATTAATCAGATCAGTATAGAGAGTTATTTCCCTTGGGAATATGAATCATTTTTCTTTACATTCTGTTTCCTTATAAACAAGTCTTTTCAGTAAATACTGTTCTAGTTATATATTGTGTTATTTCACCAAGGTTGAATTATAACTGTACTGTAATGCTAATTTGACCATGTAAACATACAAAAATGAAGGAACAAAAGGGATTGTTCTGTATAGAGAGGTCAGTTGTCATCATTTGTGGGGAAAACCTGTCAAAGATTGTGAGGAAAGTCTTTGTCATTTTCTGTTTTGAGGGATCACTTGTGATGGAAACCTGTCACAGTATGTGATGAAATGTTTTTGGTCACTATATGTATTTAGATCACTTGTGATGGCAATCTGTCACAGATTATGAGGAAATGTCTTTTGTGACTTTCTGTATTAAGAAGTCACAGTTTTTTAGGAAATGTCTTTTATGACTTTCTGTATTGAAAGATCTCTTGTGATGGAAATCTGTCACAGTTTTTGAGGAAATGTCTTTTGTGACTTTCTGTATTGAGAAATCACTTGTGATGGAAATCTGTCTCAGTTTTTGAGGAAATGTCTTTTATGACTTTCTGTATTGAAAGATCACTTTTGATGGAAATCTGTCTCAGTTTTTGAGGAAATGTCTTTTGTCATTTGCTGTATTGAGAAATCACTTGTGATGGAAATCTGTCACAGTCTGTGAGGAAATGTCTTTTGTGACTTTCTGTATTGAGAAATCACTTGTGATGGAAATCTGTCTCAGTTTGTGAGGAAATGTCATTTGTCATTTTCTGTATTGAGAAATCACTTGTGATGGAAATCTGTCACAGTCTGTGAGGAAATGTCTTTTGTGACTTTCTGTATTGAGAGATCACTTGTGATGGAAATCTGTCTCAGTTTTTGAGGAAATGTCTTTTATGACTTTCTGTATTGAAAGATCACTTTTGATGGAAATCTGTCTCAGTTTTTGAGGAAATGTCTTTTGTCATTTGCTGTATTGAGAAATCACTTGTGATGGAAATCTGTCACAGTTTTTGAGGAAATGTCTTGTCATTTTCTGTATTGAGAAATCACTTGTGATGGAAATCTGTCACAGTTTTTGAGGAAATGTCTTTTGTCATTTTCTGTATTAAGAAGTCACTTGTAATGGAAATCTGTCACAGTTTTTGAGGAAATGTCTTTTGTCATTTTCTGTATTGAGAAATCACTTGTGATGGAAATCTGTCACAGTCTGTGAGGAAATGTCTTTTGTCATTTTCTGTATTAAGAAGTCACTTGTAATGGAAATCTGTCACAGTTTTTGAGGAAATGTCTTTTGTCATTTTCTGTATTGAGAAATCACTTGTGATGGAAATCTGTCACAGTCTGTGAGGAAATGTCTTTTGTGACTTTCTGTATTGAGAGATCACTTGTGATGGAAATCTGTCAGTTTATGAGGAAATGTTTGTTGTCACTTTACGAATTAAGAGATCATTCAATGACTGGTAAAGGTGTTTTAATGACAAGTAAGCTGAGCTTTCCTGAGTTCCTATAACAAATTGTTCAATACAGGTAACAGTGATACCTGATTAAACATCAAACAGGTAGAAAAGCTACAGTTGTTAATTAATATTGGGTGATTTCAAGTGTTTGGCTTTGAACTAATCTGCTTTATAAGGTTGTGAGATGTTGGACCAGTTGCTAGCTGATAGTGTTACCTGATAAAGGTAGTTGTTACATGTGAATAATCACAGTGTTTGATGGCGTTGTGGTGTAATTACACAAAGGATTGCCCATGGGGGGCAATTGTGTTGTGCTGGTCTTCAGATACTGTAATTAACTCTGCAGAACAATGACCTCATAACTGACCTACTATACAACCTTTGACCTCAGGTGGTGCAGTGTATGTACCCAGATGTGGGTACATGTCATTATGATACTGTAATCTTCAAAGGTAGTAGCAGGATGTCAATTATTGATGACTATTATTCTGTTTGGATGTCATACACGTTTTTGTGGTTGTTTTCTCCATTTCGTTCTATTTCCCAGAAGTCTGTTCAGACTACAGTGATTGATTTAGCCTTGAAATACGGATTGTAAATATTTGATGGGACAGAACAAATGATACCTCAATATTTACACCGGACATTTTATTTACTTGCCAATTATCACCTTCACTGATGATTTATCAGGTAATATAACCAAGGACCTTGCAGTGTTGATATTAATATGCATGCTGAATATGTGAGTGGCAGGCATTCTGAGAAAACCTGGTCACATAGTTTTAGTCCCAGACAAAAGATTTAATCTTTATCTGTGTAATATCTGACTTACTACAGACCCCAATGTGGTATTTACCTTACTATAGACCAATGTGTAATATTTTACCTCACTACAGACCCCTGTTTAATATTTGATCTTACTACAGACCCCTGTGTAATATATTACCCTATTACAGATCCCTGTGTAATGTATTACCCTATTACAGACCCCTGTGTAATATATTACCCTATTACAGACCCCTGTGTAATATTTGATCTTATTACAGACCCCTGTGTAATATCTGTCCGTACTACAGACCCCTATGTAATATCTTTCCTTACTACTGACCCCTGTGTAATGTGTGACCTTACTACAGACCCTTGTGTAATATAATACTCTATTACACATCCCTGTGTAATATTTGATCTTACTACAGACCCTTGTGTAATATATAAACCTATTACAGACCCCTGTTAATATTTGATCTTACTACAGACCCCTGTGTAATATATTACCCTATTACAGACCCCTGTGTAATATATTACCCTATTACAGACCCCTATGTAATATCTTACCTTACTACAGACCCTTTTGTAATATATTACCCTATTACACACCCCTGTGTAATATATTACCCTATTACAGGCCCCTCTGTAATATATTACCCTAACACAGACCCCTGTGTAATATTTGATCATACTACAGATCCCTGTGTAATATATTACCATATTACAGACCCCTGTGTAATATATTACCATATTACAGACCCCTGTGTAATATCTTGCCCTACTACAGACCCCAATGTAATATCTTACCTTACTACTGACCCCTGTGTAATGTGTGACCTTACTACAGACTGGTGTGTAATATTTGACCTTCAGACCACTTCTACTGAAAGATGCATTACTGGTATAGGAACAATGTCTGTTGTGGTAGTATTTTAACGTCTGGTTGAACGTTGATTTTCTTCCACTCATCATCGAAAGCAACATTTGTTTCCTTATTTGCGTTTAGGTAAAAACTCTACAGAGCTTTGGTTGATTGAACATGTAAACCAAAATCAATTACCTGTGGCCAATTAAAGCTTCTGAACTGCATCCTTACTGAGAGTATTTACTTACGGATTGCTGAAACAATTTGAAGGTCAGAGATCAAAGTCCTTGAAGTCCTTGTTATTATAAAAACTCTTTAAAGAAAACTAGTTTTTGTACAGGTGCAGGAGATATATCTTAATCTTTGCCATTTTATTTGGTGTAAAGTATATTCAGGCAGATGTATAGTAAGGTGATTTCAGTGTGAATGTTCATCTATTGGTGCTGGCATTTTACTAAAGATCACATGAATTCATGATCAGTGTGTGATCTAATAGAGAAAAACAGATCTGTAGATAACTAATTTACTGACTTCCTTTCTGACAGGGAAGTGTTTCTTATAATTTTAGATATATTAAGTTTGTATCAGGTAATACTATTAACTATCATTGTTGTTTCCGTTAACCTCTATTTAAGGATAAGGTCTATATTAGTAGAAATTTATTTAAGTATAAATATACGAAAGGTTGCTTTAATTATGAATGACGGACTTACGATCTGACCCAATAAGACTTCCCATTGTGTGAATTAAAAGTAATGTCTGTACTGTGAACAAAAGGGCTGGTATATAAAGAATCCTTTTATTATACTCTATTGATTAAAATACAAATAAATGTTCTGTGTAGACTAAAGAAGCTTCTGGGGATGGTGGTGTGTCATGTTTAAAATTTTTGGTGAATGACCCAAATTATATAGCATAATGGAAATGAATAGTCCAGCAATTTTTAAATACTTTACTTTGAAATGGAGAGCATGTTTGAAAGACGGGTTTACACAGACAGTGATTAATGAGGTGCAGACTCGTAAAATCTACCCAACATGATATCCTAGTTATATCCCGATACAATTTACCTGTCAATGTTAACATATAAACTAAAGGCTCTCATCACCTTAGTTTGTCATATCAAAAAATAGATAAACAAGATATTTAAGGTGACTAGATTATGTTTGATGTGTCAACAGAATAGCCTGTGACATTGTGTGGGGTATTCACTGGTGGGAGGTTCCCCCTAACACACTTGAGAATCGCCTAGTAGACACATGAATGGCCTTCACAATGATGTCAGATTTTGATTGTTTAGTGTCTATGCTTACACGTTTATACTAGAAGTTTCTGAGTAACTTGGTCAAGCATGTTTCATTGACATGTCATGTAAATCTTCCGTTTATCAACTTTTGAAATAATAGATCCAACACAGTGAAACATTGATTTGGGCAAAATTAGTAGGAGTAATCCTCAGCCGTATAGAGTCCATGTACATGACTGTGGTGAAATGATGGGGTTAGTGAACCACTAGGGAAAGACTGGTCAAGTCTTATAGGAATAGAATGTGAATTTTTAAAAGACTGCTACTCTGGAAGTAGTATAGATGAAGATAATTGAACCTAATTTAGGTACAGAAAATCCCTTAGGAGAGAGGTTTAATGCTTAAAAAGAGAATGAAATCACACCACACTGCTTAATTTGTGGGAACTAATGAAGATGAGGCCCCACTCCCTTGCTTTGTAGAAACATTAAAGACCAGATGTCACTCCATTAATTTGTTAGGAACAAATGAACAAGACTGATAGGGGAAACAAGAAACTTTAAAAAGAACTCATTTTCAGTACGAGTGAAGCTTTATCACCCATCAATAGCCAGGGTCGTTTTGGGACCAAGTATCCTTGCAGTAGCTGGCAGCTACAGTACTAAACATACAGGAGACTCCAGATCAATTGTCCAAGGACAAAAACACGACAGCAGAGGACAACTTAGAGTTCTCATCTTCCTGAGAAACGCAAACCACCCAAAGTAGGGATCATTCAAACACATGCCTCCGAAGTTGCCAAGTCGCTCTGCCATCTCTTTGAGATACAGAGACAGAGCTCAGAAAGGGATACAGAAAGTAAATCCTCGTGAAAATGTTTTTATAACCAAATCTGTTATATTTACTAAGGATTCTGATCATGAGCAAGAATATAGTATAAAGTAAAGAATCGGCAGTCCCCATTTCAGGAGAACAACAAGGCCTGACAATTATAGATATCTATTTCATTGCTATATATTACGAACACAAACTTTAAAACATACATGGATCCAACGGAATATGCATGTATTAGGATTAGGCAGGAGATGATTGGTGGGGACCTAATTATGACAAGACCTTATATAAATCTTCCTTACTAAAGAAACTCGGCCTTCTGTGGTAATATGCTGTCTTGTGTCATTGATTCGTCAATACTAGATGACTTATTCAGATCCCAGAGATCAGTTTTCTGAATAATCATTCTTAGTATATTAAACTATTTCAAAGCTAACAAATGACAAACACAAGCAAAGTCAGTCCACACAATCATATTAAACACGGAGAATGACCTTTAAAGAGGCAGGCTTGAAGTCAATACTACAGAGCAGGTGAGAACAATGGAGTTATATTAAATGGTACATGTTGGTCATTCACCGTTTTACAATTCACTCTTTTCGGGTAATTAAAAGTTTTGTTCTGGTAAGTATTGAGTCAATAAAGTTTTTTTGTTACGGTAGGTGTTGAGGTTTTTTTTCTGTGACTGTAGCGTTTTAACATTGATCACTGAATTAAAGGTATAATTGGCTGTATATAATGTACAGGTTTATGTACTGTTAAGTATTGTTATTTTGCCTGTCGATTGGAGTAATGTGAACATGTTCACCAATTGTGTCCCGAGTATTGACTACCCATTATCTTAGTGTTGTGAATCATTTCTGTTTATACATTGTAAGCGGAGGTTTTGTTCTCCCAGTCACAAAAGAGTTTGCATTGTGTTACGCTGTCCCTCTATTCAAATGAGCCAGGTTCATGGCCTGCGGGTCGTCATTGTTTTGGGCCAACGATCAGTGTCTGTCCACAAGGAGAAGCCACGAGGTTTGTGTAAACTTTATTTATGTTATATATTTTCAGGGAGGCACCTTTTCCTTAGGACTTGTTCAACCATTAGTATAAATGCTGCCTTATATAGTATACTTACATTTTAAAGTTATTAAAGCTCATAAACTCTGCATTCCTTCATCGTCAGTTACTTTGATGATATATATCTAAGATTTCAGGACAAGTTCATTGTTAATTAGACATGTTGAAATGCATTTTACATCTAATTAATCAGACAGGTATTCATAAGGGGCTAATGGTCTTATAAAGCTAAATTAAGAATTGTCAAAATTCTGAAAATTAGTAGAATTTAGTTGGAATCCATCATAATACAGTACATGAATACACAGATATTTCTATACTACCTTGCTCCATGGGAAGTAGCTCCAAGGGAGGTAACTTGACACAGTTTGTGTGAAAACAAAACTATTACAACTAAAATGTACACCTTATTATTGATTTACAAGTTTTGTGAAATGAATATTAGCAAAAAAGTAAATGACACTAGTTCAACCTTTTAGTAAAAGGGAAATGTTTATATGCATGTGACAAGTTTGTTCAAATGTGTGGCCTTGATGAGTGTTGAAGGTCATGTGATGTGATCTATCAACTTTTTCTGAAGAATAAATTAGCGATGATTCCCGGGATCAAATTCTAGCTTTATTGTGCTTAATTGAAAGGCTTTTAGTTTTGTTTAAAATCACTTAATCCACTTTCAAGGAATCAAATGTATTAACATCCTTACATACCAAAGTTGTGAAAGTCACAAAAATCAGACAATTTTTAAGAAAGAAGCATGGATTATTTGTAAAGAATTTTGAGGCCTTGAATAGTATTAACTTTTTATTGTGCTACATTGCATAATCTGTGATTGAGATATAAATTATAATCAACTATTCAGTGTCAATATTCTGTCTTAATTATTTTTCATGATATTTGACAGTTTATGCATGAAACTGCTGACAGTGGCTTCTATATTACATTTGTAACCTTTGTTATACTAGAATAGATGTTTATGTTATATCTGACCTTGAGGACAAGATATATGAAGTGTATTAAGGTAATATCTATTGTATATTACCCCTGGGAGAGGTATTGTTTTATTGACGGAGCGTGTGACATCTCTACCAAAGTAAGATGATCCAGACCAGGGGGACAAGACTGGCATGCAATATTTATGTGGGATGAGAAGTGGCAGATCACAAGGCCACCAGACCTTATTAGCTTGTTACCAGGGCTGCTGCTCCTACATGAAAACTAGATATTGGCTTCTCTTTTGGTTGAGAACACTGTAAAGATATTTTTTGCATGGTTCAAATGTTTTTTAACTTTGTAACAAATTTAAGAAGCAAAATGGATGTAATTTTTGCAAAAAATTCTGAAACAGTCTATAGTTTTAATGGAAAATTGCAAGGAAATAGAATCTGTCATAACAGCTTGTACAATAAAAGGGATTCAGTCATTAAGGACTATGTATTTAGGTGAGCTGTAGTGTGGTAAGATACTGTACGGTAGGGATGTCATTGACCTGGTCTTTATGAGTAACCATGACAACTAGTAATCTCAAGGTCAAATGTGTAAAAGTGTTAAGTGATTTCCTTTTGCCAGTACAACCTTCTGTACTTACAATGGTATCACTGTACACGCTAGGTCTATATATCCTTTCCGAAATCTCCAGACATTCAGTCATCAGTACGAACTGTATAAAATTATTCCATCACTCTGTGCTGCATTTATTCCAGTCCTTCCTCTTGTCACTGGAATGATTCCCCTACACTGATGTTAGGGTGTGAACTGTTCAGTTTTACGAGAAACAGATAAGTATAGAACATGAATTATGTATGATAGCAAGCTTGGTATTCCCGGATTTAGTCCAAACTGGCTCCCAGGAGATTGTCTCGATGGGAAAATTTGGAATTTACAATTTATTGGGATCTATCAATTGGAGGAGATATTGCTGTTATCCTGTTATGATATTTAAAACAATCGACTGTCTTGGCTGATCATGAATACATTGGCGTTTATGTTGTGTGCCTTTTTTGAAAGATTCTGGCAAAATTTATTCTCTTTTGTTCATGTTTAGTGGCCTGCATTAAAAAAACCTTTGTTCTTAGGAGGTGACAAGGTTATAGCATTTTAGGTATATATAGGTCAGCTTCCCTTAACATGACTCCTGTTTAATTGTGATCATAATCAAAGTTTTATAATTTTCAATTATTGCTGTGATATAAGGATTTAGGGTAGATGAAAGAAACACACTACCACATCTGTATTGTGTATAAGTTAAATGTGATGCTACCTGTAACACTGAAATTCTGATGCACATGCCTGGATCATTACAAAAGACACTGGCACCTGTATTGAACATAAGATACTGCAACATCTGTATTACGGTACACAATCTACAGTCATCTGGGGTAATTTGTTTGCCCTCACATAAAACTCCATTTTCACCACATATTAAATTACCATAAAATTCATTAAATTAGTTCTTTGTGACTGAAACATCATGTAACACCTTGGATTTTCATATTGTTTCTATTCATAATTCACCATCTTTTGTCTTGTCAAATTCCACAACAAAATCCTGTTCCAAACTTCGTTTGATAGACTCAAGGCCATGCCGGAGTGCTCTCCATTGTTGTGATATTGACCCTCTGACTGTAGCTACCTAAAGATATGTGAAGTATAATCAGCCATCCAGCTGTCCCTGTATATTGGTACTAGATCTATATATAGTCCATTTAGTTCATTTCGATCTTCTTCTC